ATTATTCTCTCATCCCTCTCCGCCAACGAATCTTCCGATAGAATCAAAATAAAAAAAAAAAAAATAAAAAATCCGACGAAATAAATTCGTCCTGGCGGTATGAAGATTTACGAACAAAGAGACAATGATAAAAAGTTACAAGCCAACGCAACGAAATACACCACATCGCCGTTAGTCCCCGCCTTAACCACGCCCTCGAAAGCAGGAGTGAGGCGGCCATAATTAAGCTCGATGTCGTTAAAGCCACTAGATGGCATCGCAATGCCATAGACCAAATAATACCTCGTGTAAAGTCGCCTATACTACTCAGTTGCTGTATCCGCGGTTGTACATCTATGTTCACCGTCAAGTATACTTTATCTATGTCATAAGTTTCTATGACACGTGTAGAATTCACATTTCAGATAAATGACGAGGATAGAGACAAACATCGCCGTTTCATCATGCGCGGCTGAAACCAATATACGAACTTAACGATCCCGCGTACCGATTAGTTGTCCACAAAGAATCGCAAAAGTTGGCGTATGAGAAATTCGTCGAGACGCTGCTCGTATCCGAGCCGAAGTCTATAGATCTGCGTGCTCGGTTCGGCAACACGGTTTCGGGATCCAGATAGCTTTAAATATTTCTAGCTTTTAGACCGCGGGCCCCGGTGGCGCGATTTATCGCCTATACGGGGCAAACTTTCCTATAAAAGTAGATCGCCGGAATTCCTCTAAATTGCCTTTTCTTGTTCACTGTCAAAATTTATCTTCGCGTATATCTGCGCCACCGCGGCGGGTCGGTCAGCGAACAAGCGATCGAGAGGGACGGAAGGAGGCTCTCCGTGCCCTGTTCTTTATTTAGGCGACGAAAAAGGGGTGACGTATAGACGTGCGTCTACAGAGGAAGGTAGAAGTTCGTCAAATTCTTGGGCGGTGACTACGCGACGCGAGAGTGGCCTTTCTTAATTGGACGCAGCCTGGTGGTTCCACCGCGTGCTCGCGCAGCGGACAAAAAGCGGCGAGAGCCCCCTCGTTGCCGATAATGAAATGTAAATTTCACGCAAATTCGACGACAAGTTACGAAAAAACGGCCCTGAAATATGTATATCTCGTTATATTATCGAAGCGTGGCACGGTCGCGAATTTAATGCGGCCTCTCTCTGCTATCGATGCACGATTTAATGAGCCCGCGAAACAATGCAACAGAAACGCGCAAGTACTGGCGTGTATGTGTGTGCGCGCGCGCGCTCTACCAAGTCTACTCTAATAAATAACGTCGTAAATATCTAATTAATATGGTAATATAATTCAAATCGTAATTTATCGTCCCGCTAATCGATTTCGCGTCCCGATACGATGACGTTGCCTCCACCACCACCGCGCTAGCTACTGTTCAACCGTAACGCGATTATAGTTCCTGGCAGTATTCCATGCACCGAACCTAACGATCTGCTTTGCGTCGTAAAAACGCGGCCGGCACGTGGTGGTTACGCCGATGAAGAACACCGACGATAAAGAAGAAGTCGGATAATAATTGCTCCAATAGGAAAAACGACGCCGAAAAACCAGTGGTTTCTGCCTTAGTCGATCGATGAATTGGTTGTGATTTCGTCACGTTGCATTGGTTGCAAAACGTTCTCTAATTTCAAACGTAAGCTTCAAAAGAAACGGTCTATAACGAAATGTTTAAGACAACTCCTCTTATTTTTCTCTTTTCGTTTATTGTCTACATGCTATGATAATTTATGTTAAATTACTAAAACTTAGGATATTCTAATTTATTTTGTTTTTTTTTTTTTAGATTCCTCACTAGACAGAGGGACTATCTAATAGAAACATTAGTTTAAAACAAAAATTCTATAATTCTATAAGTTTAATTCCTGGTCTTTACATTAGCTCAAAAAGAATTAAATTCGAAAAACAACAATATACCCATATCTCGATACGATAATATCCCGCAACAAATCGTCGAATCTTGAAAAAATACACTAAAATTCTCCTTACCGTAAATAATTCAAAAAGAAGAAAAGAAAGATAGGCGATTTTTTTTTTTTTTTTTTTGGAAACGTTATCGCATAAATCTCGTCGGAGTCTCCATTTCACGGAGACTTTGATGCGGGATACGACTAGCAATGCATGCATGATGCATGCACCACGCTCGTAGCTATTTGCAAGGCTAAAATCCTATTTTAAGGTTGGCTAACAATGCGGCGTTTCACGAGCGAAATTCGAATTTCACGAAAACGCGGAGCCGAACGACAGCCGAAGGAGCAACGAGTCCATCGATTAAACATCACACACACCGGACCGGTATCGTCGAATCGGCACGCTTGGCCACGGCCTGCAATTACAACACGGTTCGTGGAGTTAATTGGTGAATTCCTCTTGGCGGCATGATGCCGACAAAAGGAACTTTATAAAGTTTTCCGTTTATCTGGAAAACTAGTGGCGGGGGATATGATTTGCCACCGGCCGCGAATTATCGCAGAGAATTTCTCTTCCTTCCCGCCGCTGATAATGAGATTCTGAATAAGGTTCGTAGAAAATTGTTCGTTGTAACCATTATTGTCTGATTAAATACTCGCTGCGCGAATTGAACCTTATAAAATGAATTTTACGTGTTACGCGAGTTGGATGATCAAAGGAAGATTTGTCTAAAGTTGATCTAACCCACTAAGGACCAAACAATGATTTATTATAAATCGGAAATGGAATTTAGATGAAAGGTACGTGTAATGATGAAAAAATATTAGGCGAATCACTGAAATTTTTTTTTATGGATTTAACATTACTTAAAGCAGAATTTAATTAAGAAATGTATTGCGAATGAAATGTTTTTCTCAAAGGGTCAGATTATTTGAAACATTGCGTTAAAGCTTCAAAAAACGATACGAAACAACACGATCATTTTAAACTACTTATTCTTACGTCTTTCGGGGAATAAAAAAATCTCCACGAGAAATCAGTCATCTACCAAAGTCAAAATCATATTGCGAGTCGAGTCGAGAAACGATTAATTTCTTGGCAAACAGCGACGAAGGAAATCCCGTGTGGCAAACACAGAAGAGTAAAAGAAGAGAAGGAACGAACGTAATAACGAGTCAAAACGAAAACGGTATGTCGACTGGACGGCACAAAGCGTCCACCACCACCACCGCATCGCCAGCATTTCCCGAGAATCCTTTTTTTCCAGCCAAACATGGAAAGAGTCATAAAAGCAGGGCAGAGAGCCGGCACGTAGGCAACGAAGAGACTTTCGTGAAAGCAGAGAAAAAGCGAGGACCTTTTTTTACAGCCGATATTGGCTTCGGCCAAGCAATTCGAAGGGTCGTTCGTTTTCTGGGAACGAATGGCCGCCCCCTGGACTAAAGTACAAATTATACCAGAGGCTCCACCGACGTAGATAGCGTTTCGACGACAGAAATTGCCATCTCTTTCGGCGCGACTGTTTCCCGTTTTTTCCATCTACCTGGTCAAAAACTTTCTACTTTCTATTTTTTTTCTTTTTTTTTTTGTCACACCTCTCCCCCCTTCCCCCGCCCTCGCAGCCAAGCGAAACGATTTCACTTTTTCCTTTTCTGTTCTCTTCTTATCCAACAGTGCGTGGCTAAAGAGACTATCCGAGCAAAATCTTTCGAAAATATTATCTTTCAAATGTTTTGTAGCACGGACGATAATACCCGACATCGTCCGTGATGGTGCGAAGAAATTGCAGAGAATCGAGAAAATTGCAGCTGCTTCGTTAACGTCGAGCAAACGCCGGTATCCGCGGAATATAGAAAAATATGAAAATCACGATGGTGCAACACTTCACGCGAGCCAGTTGCCGCGGCAACAACAACAACAACCCCTCGAGAGGCCCGCGAGACGGGGGAGTTAAATGCACGCAAACAGAATAACTTAGGAAATTATGAAGGCATGCTCGCAGGTGGTTTATCCTCATTAAGTGTACCGGCTAAACTTAATTTTAAAGGCACCGGGAACCGGCTAAAAGCGACCCACCCCTCCCCCCTTTCAACACCATTTGTAACGCTCTCTAGCCGACATTTTCTTCGGTATCCCGTAACTTCCGCCGATGATATATCAAGCTTAATGCGCGCTCGAGGCCTCGCGAATCCGTTGTTCAACGCCGTCGGGAAATCCATTACCATCGAGTCGACTCACCCCTCGCGAATTCGTACAGCGGAAGGGTTGTGCGCCTCTGTTACCAAGAGGATTTATCAGAATCCTTTATAAGAAACGTAAGCTCTCCGCGATCGTAGGTAATTTGTTTCTCAACACGGTGAAATCCAAAAGAACGACTCTAGAAATTTTCTTTCCGCTAGGAATTTGTAACTTAGATAAGGAGTTGGCTCTCCGCCAGAGAATCCGCAGAGGCGTTCGCAGCAAAAAGATCTTAAAATCGTAATTCTGCTCGACGATCCGTATAATTATGCATTATTTCCACGACGTTTCTCATTCCTACGTATTGAACAGTAACGGAAAGGTAACAAGAGAAAAGCATCTGAATACTTTGCTTCTTTTCTTTCCCTTCTCTTTCGAACCTTTCCATCTAAAGAACACTCGGCTAATTCATTTAACTCCTAGCTCTAATCGCGTCGCAATCTATCCGAACGACCAACCCAAAACGATCCCCCGAAAGCATAAAACATCACCAGCCCGATTGCCGCGCACAGGAGGTGTTTTCGATCAAGCTAGAAATTGGCCGTTTAACAGGTTAAGCGAGCCGGAGGGGGGCGAGGGACGAGGGAAAGAGTATCGAAGGGAAGAGGGTACGGGGAGGGAGGGGGAGGGGGGGGGGGAGCCGATAGAAGCGCGAACGCGAACAGGCGAGAAGCAAGAAGGAAAGAGGAAAAAGGAAAAAGAAGCGAGAGGATCAAAAGGACGAAAAAGTGAACGTAGAAGGGCAAAGGGGGCAAAGGGGGCAAAAAAAAAAGAAAAAAGAAACGAAAAGAAAAGAAAAAAAAAGAAGGGAGAAAAATAAAAGGGGTCGGTGGTATCGAAGAAGTCACTCACCTTTAATATAGCTGTGTACATTGCGGTGCTAGCAGAGGGTGGTGTGGATTGGTGGTGGGGTGGTCAGGGGGGCTCCGGTGCAGGGCGTACCCCTAGTTGGCCCCCTCCGGTCCCCCACCGGCCGCTTGCTGCTGCTGCGCAGCCGCGGCCGCTGCTGCCGCTGCCTTCTGCGCATGCGCCTGCTTCTCCTGTTCGTTCAGCTCCTTGATCGCCTGTATCTCCTTCTTCAGCTTCATCCGCCGATTCTGGAACCAGATCTTGATCTGCCGTTCCGTCAGGCAGAGCGAGTGTGCCATCTCGATCCGCCTCCGCCTGGTGAGGTAGTGGCTCGTGTGGAATTCCTTTTCCAGCTCGAGCGTCTGGTAGCGCGTGTAGGTCTGTCGGCCGCGCCTGCGCATTCCGTTCGCTCCTGCAACCAACAAAACCACAGCGAAACGTTCAAACGAGCTCTCCGGAGGAAAGATCGCGTGTCTTTTCGTGGACTTCATTTCGTGGGCTGCCAAAGGGGAACCCGTGTGTTCCGTCGAAATAATACGTTTACACACGCCAGCGCAACGTTCGCGTGTTCCTTTTCTCTTTCTCCCCCTTCCCTGAGAAAGTGGCCCGCTCCCAGGCAAACGCGAACGTTGTTGGCACAAAGATAGTAAGAAAGTAGAGAACGATCGGAAGCGAACGCCATCGACGCAGAAACCATTGGTATTTGCAATACCAATCACGTCTATCCTTGAATGTAACCAATTGAAATCGCGACAGCGATCTTCGTCCTTTCTCACTTCGTTTAATACGTTAGCACATCCTACGGGTAAACTAGCCTATCTTCGAATCCAATCTACCATGTATAAAGTTACGTCGCATTACAATTTCAAACGAACCACGAAATCTTTTAATCCCACTTTCATCCCTGCTACCCGTCCAGCTACAAATATCCTGGCAGTACTCGAGACGCGGAAGAACGTTGAACGGGTACGAAGAAGCCAGCTCGAAAATCCCGGCAACATTCTCGATAACGCCGAGAGACCGGGATAACTTCTAAGCGGCACTTTAAAAAGAACGAGCAGGAGACAAAGAGGCGGAAAAAAGGAGGGAAAAAAGAGAGACGCGTAAACGGTTTCAGATAGAGCCACGGCGAAGTCTCGACGGAAAAGTGATCGGGTGAAAGTAGGAAAGCGTACGACAGCGGGATAGGTACACACTGTGTCGAACAGTCGCTTGGGTACAGTACCGGAATATAAACCCGTCTGTGGGAGCTCAAGCTCACCTTATCGGCCGTTACTGCCTCGTAAAAACCCTCCCAGCGTTTCACCTCTACCAGCGGCGAGAGGCCAAAGCAACCCCCGGCGCTCGTCCGTAAGCAGCCGGTCTTCGCCTTTTGCTGGTTGGCTCGCATACGCTTTATATCGAAGCACAACTCCTCCTGTAATACGATTTCCAGCCAGTTCGACGACACCCTCTCTCCCTTTCTCTGGTCTTTCGAGTTGGTCGACTCGTTCGGCCGGAACAATTAATTTCGGTTAAACGTTACTCGCCATTTCCCCGCGTATCGCCCGGGTTATTACGCGATAAACCGAGAAATTAATTTCGCCCGAAGGGTTTAATTGTTATGAATAATTAATCCGGGGGCGTAACGCGTGCATCGGCTAGACCCCGGAAGATAAGTGACGCGCCGATATTCGAGATCCGCGGTGAAATTAGTTACGCTTGGCGATCGCTCGACGAGTCGGGGATGGATCACGAAGAAATTTTCATCGAACTGTGCCGTGTGCAGCGTAATTTTTCGCCGGTTGAAATCGGTGCACGGAGAGGAGGTGGTTTATCGGTGGTTTCCCGACGGATGAAACGAATTTCGAAACGCGACAGAAATTTGAATCAGATTCGCGCCGTAAAACGGCTCTCGTCCTTCGATGGATATCAACCCCGTGGTCAACACACAGGCTGCGTGTGTACACTTTCGCCGGACAAACACGGACGATTCGAAACGGGACGCGCAATAAACGCGTCATATTTACAATCGTATCCGTGCCGATCTATTATCGACGAGCGATGCGAGGCAAGCGCGCGCGCAAGCGAGCACCACGTCGAACAGCCGCCACCACGCCACTGGACCATTTCCAGTTGGCCATTATACAATATCGCGCGCAGACGAGCAACAACACACCGCGGCAGAGTTCATATCGGCATCATGTATATTATCGCAACGTAATCAAGTGTCCCGGCGTCCACCCCTAGCTGCTGCTGCCGCCGCCGCCGCCGCCGCCGCCTCTACCACTCTCTTCTCGCGCTCTTTTCTCCCCACCAACGAGCGAGCGAGCACTCTCGCGCGGCAGCGGCGCAACATCCCCATGATTTTCATTTCAGCTTGTCAAGCAGGGCTCGCGGAGCACCGCAGAGTTATGGCGAACCGTTTATAAGGGTTATTTGTCACGCGGACCCCGCGTCTCGTGCCGGTGTGTTGCCGGTGTGTGTCTCTTTTCCACCCCCAGAGAGAGCATCCCGCCCTATCTCCGACGTGCCCGGAGTTATATCGTTCCCTTGGCCCGCGCTGTTCCTCAGCAGAAGCCAAGAGGGGTTCTCTCGCCCGATAGACTCGCTCGAACTTATAAATAAAACCAGGGCTTCAGCCAATTAAGCCAGTCTCGTACGTCTCTGCAAAGTAGAAAATGTGACAAGCTCTACCGCCCCCTCTCTTTTCTCCACTCGTCTCTCTCTCCCCCTCTCTCTCTCCTTTGTCTCGTGCCTCTTTTCCCCTCCCACGTCACGGTTTCTTTAATTTTCTATCGACCGTCTCTTCTATAAAACTTCTTCTTCCCTCTGTATATACATATATATCTCCTGCCTTACATCTTTCGATTCGATTCTATTTCCTTCAACGTATACTACACAACGCGCCGCGAATGGAATTAAACTTTCTCCTCCGAAGCGTTCCGCGATTCCTTATGCTCGCGAAGGGTGAACAAAAGGAGAAGATAGGAAGAGACGGAGATGGTAAAAGTTCTCGAATATTCTCGTCCGACTCTTGATGCCTGTGATCGAGTCTCCTACGATTCGTCGTCTCTTCCCTCGAACTCGGTCAGCCATCGTACAATTCCTCTCGTCCCGAGTTTACGCACGCCCCGTGGGATATATCGTGGGCGAAACGAAGTTGGGGGAAAGAAAGAAGTAGAAAAAAAGAAATGCCAAGGCTGTCGGGGAAAGTAAGAAGAGGCGTGCTGCGTGGCTGTTTAACCAAGGGGGTGGATAAATTTTATGCTGAGACCGTGAAACGTGTTTCATCCGGGAAATGAGAAGGAAGGTCTCGTCGGGGACAGAGGGGTGTAGTCCGTTAGCTGGAGAGGAGGAACGCGCGTGAAGAGGAGTAGCACACTTACACCGAAGTGAAAATACCTCCGTCGTAACTCACGCTTTTCTCGAAGAGAAGAGAAAAAAAAAAAAGAAAAAAAGAAAACGTTTTCGTATACAAATCGTTGGAGATTCCCTTTCTCTCGAGTGAAAAAAAACCTTCGCTCGGAGAGCCTCCCACGTCGTTGAAGAAAAATAGAGGCGCGGCCTCGAGCGATTGATTTCTCTGATCAGTCCGAGTAAAAACAATAGGGAGAAAATTCGAAGGAGCGTGGAAATTTCCGCAAAATCCAGGCTCCAGCGTATCCTCGTGGCTCGTTTAGAGCTCGTCGGTAATGGGGAGAAGGGACTCCTTCGATTGGAAGGAAGTAGTACCGACATGGCCGACCATAAACAAGGAGACGGAAAGGGAGAGACTTTGGCTGTTGCCAACTCTAATAAGAACAACCAATACGTTGATTGCTGCCTGGGATACGCTCGGTATATAACTCCAGACGAAAGGCTGGCAAAACACACGGGTATACGAAGCGGATCCCTTCATTTCCCTGCGGTGGGAAGAAGGAGAGATCGTGCACGCCAAAACCGGATCATACGCGGGGTCAATCAAATCAAAGTAAGTGAATTGGCTGGGAGCATGAAGGATTTCCGCGAACCTCCCCGTACCCAAGAGAAATTCCTTTCATAGGCTGGCTCGCCAGGCGTTTGCTCGAGGGTCGTTGTAGCTTCGTACATGGTTACTGATGGCCGCATCAATCGAAACTCCCGGGTGGTGTTTCTTGTTCCTTAGATTCGGCCAACACGGAACGGTAAGGTCAATTTAAACGCGACCAATTTCCTTGCACCGATAAATCACCCGTCGGACGAACGCTGATGCAATACCAATTACGCTCGGTCTCGCCTGGTTTCCTCTACATCACCGTCCGACTTTTGTCTCCGTGAGGTTGGCCCGAGACTGCTTCAAGTCTCGCGTCTAGCTCGTTCCGCAAGTTCGTGCAACTTGGAAACATCAGGCGGCGTCCTACTATCCAGGAATTCTTGCCGGCCAAATGGAGAGCAAGTTAACCGCATAAATCGTGTACGTAATTAGAGGACTTCTCGCTGTCCGGTTGTTGGAAACACGAACCCACGGGAAGGTCAGCTAGCTAGCTAGCTCCGTTCAGAGAGGAGAACACCGGGCCCCGCTTTCTCGCGCGTTGGCTTCGCTCGCACCGGTGTCGTAAGTTGTCGGAGCTTCCGGTGTGTCCGCGTACCTCCCGAAACGCGAACGTTCACGGCCGCAGCGAACTCTGTTTGCGAGGCACGGTAGTCTCGGAGACACTCGGTATGAGAAACGCGTAGCTACGCAGCAAGATCGTAGCTCAACGTGGGGTACACCCTCCTCCAGAGGCTTGCCAAGGTAGGTAATCCTCTCGGGGGCGTGAGTTACTGCCTAGCGTCCCTCGCGCTGTACTCTCTTCTGTTCCACCTTCTTCTTCTTCGCCCCATCGGCCTTCTCTATGCGTCCCTTTCCCTCCCTCTTCAGGCCGACGCTCTTCCTCCTTCTCGCTCGTATCGTCGGCAACCGTTTCTCCGCAACCCCGACGGAGCTCGCTCGCTCACTCTCTCTCTCTCTCTCACGCTTCTCTCCATTTTCTCTTTTTCCCGCCCGTTAGTATTCTTGCAGCTTTCCTTCGTCCTCGGTTAAGGGCTGCCGGGAGAAAATGCCGGGTGAAAGTTGGAGGATCGCGCCGGTGGTGCGCGTCGCGACGACGAAGGGAGAGGAAGAACGACGCTGGGTGGCGCAGAGCGTACGGAGAGCGTTGTGCCACAGCTGGAGAGCATTAGTCAACTGTAATTAATAAGTTATGTACAAGAGAGGCTAACGAACAGCGCCCCTCGAGGCGCGGGGAGGTGTTGTTGCCTCTCTTCGTAGTTGGAAGAAAGAGCTCGCGTCGGAGATCGTTTTTCACGACGGCGCGACGACGGAAGCCTCCGCGATCGTAAATACGCGACGCGGTAAACCCTTGTAACGTGAATAAACGGGGGCTGCTCGCACGGAAATAAGCGACAACCCCCGGGAACGTGTACGATTCT